CATGTCTTCTATCCCTAATAATCTAAAATCAGACATATAGAACCATTGATGTGACTACAAATCAAGATGATAAACGAATTCGAAATGTCATACTAAAAAACAACATAAACAAAAGTATGACGTTTCATTTTGTTGAAAAAGTACAGACGGTCATCCGATTAGGCCTCAAAAATTACATCTATCAATCAATCAAATTCAAACACATAAAAGCCCAAAAAATCCCAATTGAAATGTGATTATGCACACTCATCTCTTTCACACGCAAAACAAAGTAAGCAAATTCACTTGTTGGAATTGTGCACTTCCATGCAATGAAGACTTATGAAGCTGCTTTATTGTTTTAGTTTTTCTTTTCTATTTTAGTTTCTTTTATTTTGTTTTCATTAATCTGTTGGGAAAACGCGGGTTGCGATTATGTTTTAGTGTAGTGCGTTTCTATTAACAACAAAATGGTGACGTTTTGTTTGTTGCATGTGTATACTGTGCATGGGACCCGATATAAGGTCATCCCTGTAAAACGTTCTCTTTGATTTTGACTGAATAGAGAAAATGGTTCCAAAAATATCTTAGCTCAAAAAAACTGATTTCAACATGGTATCTAGAGCGGTTGATTCTGGTGCCGGAAAAGCTTAAGTTTGCTGATTCGAGATCCGATCTAGGGTTTTTTCGCTGCGGATTACCTTCCCTAACCTACGATTTCACTATTCTGCTTTGAGCAAGCTCAACCATGGCGCAACGACGAAATGAAGCTTGGCCACTACTCAACACCAACACTACATCTGGTTTGAAGCTTACTGAGCAAGATCCGCTGTTTCTACACAGCTCCGATCATCCTGATATGGTTCTGGTTACCACTCCTCTAGCTGGCAACAATTTTTTACCGTGGAAGCGTTCAATGATCATTGCTCTTATGCGAAAACGAAAATTGGCTTTATTAATGGAGAAATAGAGAAACCAGATGAAAAGGATGATATGTACATTGTATGGAAAAAAGTTGATTGGACTGTGCTCTCATGGATATTGAATTCCTTGTCAAAGGACATCGCTGAGTCTTTTATGTATGCGGAATCTTCTAAGGATCTGTGGGATGATATTTGTCAGAGGTATGGAGAAAACAATGGTCCTATGAAGTACAAACTACAAAGGGAAATTACCAGATTATGGAGTATTTTAACAAGCTTAAGAAATTGTGGGATGAATATGCTTGCATTGCTCCTGTAAGAGGTTGTGATTGTGTGAAAGGAAAACAGGCGGCTCAACATGAAGCTGAAACCAAACTGATTCAGTTCCTTATGGGACTCAATGATGGCTATGATAATTTGAAAAATCAAATCATGTTGTTAGATCCATTGCCTACTGTGAATAAAGCCTATTCAATGACTCTTACAGCTGAAAGACAGAGGTCTGTTCAAAATTTATACAGTGAGAGGATGGATAATGCAGTGCTTGCAGCAAGAACTGATGGCTATGGTAGAGGTAATTTCATGGGAGGAAGAGGTGGAACATAATGGGGAGCAGGGAGAGGAAGAGGTGGCCCTAGACTCACAAAAGAAGAAAGGGCAAAACTTATTTGTGAAAAGTGTGGAATGAGTGGACACAATGTGTCAACCTGTTTCAAGGTTCACGGTGTACCAGAGTGGTACAAGGATCTTAAACAACAGCAAGCCAGGACTTATGCCAACAACATAGAGGTTGCCAATGAGACATTTGATCAGAAAAGGAAGATAAATGACAAAGCAACTGAGCTTCCAGACCTCAACACAATAGTTCAACAATTAAATGAGCTTACTCAGTATATCAAGGGAAAAGAAAACATGGAGAACAGTGTTGACTATGCACAGTTTGTCAACTTTGCAGGTAAGGAAAAGAAAGATTATCTTCATTTTGCATTAACAACTCTCAATAATGACTTGTTGGGGGAATGGATCATTGATACTGGTGCTAGTAGGCACATTTGCTCAGACAGCAAATTGATTAGAGAACTGCAACCACTTAGTGAGCCTGTAAATATTTGCTTACCTGATGGAACTCTGAAGAAAGTGGTTAGCAAAGCGATGGTAACATTAAGCGGTGAGATCACATTGGAGGATGTGCTGTTTGTGCCATCTTTCAAATATAATTTGCTCTCAGTGAATCAGATGTGCACACATAACAACTTGAAATGGATCTTTACACCTTCAGATTGCTACTTGCAGGACCAGAGGAATGATAAGCTACTTGGTGTTGGAAGGCTTAAAGGGAACTTGTACATCTTTCATAACACAGGTACAAAAGAAACCAAAGTTCATTGCAATCTGACAATGGAAAGCTGGCATAGGAAATTGGGTCATCCATCCATATCAACTATGAAACATTTCAGTTTTCTAAAGGAAATTTGTAGCCAGAATGATGAAGCCTTGATCCAAGAATGTAATGTGTGTTTCAAATCCAAACAGCATCGTTTACCATTTCAGCACAGTGCAATTCATTCTCAAAGAATTTTTGATACGGTACATATAGATATCTGGGGTCCTAGTCATGGGCCTACTTTGACAAATACACCTTTCTTTCTTACTTTGGTTGATGATTTCAGTCGAGGTACTTGGGTATATCTGATGAGCAACAAATCACAGGCAGTTGGGATGGTTAAGAAATTTATCACCATGATCAAAACTCAGTTTGAAGTGGTCATTAAGAGGATTAGAACTGATAATGGACAGGAGTTTGACAGGAGTTTTTGAGTAATGATTTACAAAATTTTCTGAAAGAAAAAGGAATCATTCATGAAACTAGCTGCACCTACACTCGACAACAAAATGGAGTTGTGGAGAGAAAGCACAGGCACCTGTTGAACATAGGAAGAGCACTAATGTTTCAAAGCAGCTTACCTCTAAGTTTTTGGCCCTTTTCCATTTTGACAGCAGCAGGTTGCCAAGTGCTTTACTGGGATGGAAGTCACCCTTTGAAAAACTATATGGTACTTTACCAGATTATCACTCTCTTAAAACTTTTAGCTGCTTAGCATATGCAGCCAATGTGGATCCAAGAAAAACTAAGTTTGACCAAAGAGGGTTGAGGTGTATATTTCTTGGCTATGTGAGTGGGAAAAAGGGGTTTCAGCTCTATGATCTTGATTCTAAGACTTTGCTGATTTCCAGGGATGTTGTGTTCATAGAGAAGATCTTTCCTTATAACAAAGGAATCATTGAAGAAAATACTGAAGTACCTTTACCACTGGTTGATGACATCAGTGAGCATTCAGAAGAAAGTGGGAACTTACCTGACACAACACCTATGGATCTTAATGAGAGTTCACAACAGGCTGATCTAAGAAAGAGTACAAGGACTAAAACCACACCCAAATGGCATGAGGACTACATATGTAGTCATGTGCATGCAAAAGATTCAGATGTGGCACAAAAGTATCTCACCTTCCTGTCCAATGTCCACTCAGAAAAGGAACCACCACACTATACACAAGCCTCTAAGGATCCTGTTTGGGTGAAAGCAATGCAGAAGGAGCTTGAAGCACTAGAAAGTAACTGTACTTGGGAACTCACAGACTTACCAGCAGGCAAGAAAATCATAGGATCCAAGTGGGTGTATAAAATAAAAAGGAAAAGTGACGGGACAGTAGAGAGGTACAAGGCCAGGCTTGTGGCTAAGGGCTATAGTCAGGTAGCTGGTGTGGATTATCTTGATATTTTCTCACCTGTGGCCAAATTGGTCACAGTAAGGGTGTTCATTGCCATGGCCACAATGAATGGTTGGCCTCTGCACCAGCTGGATATAAATAATGCATTTTTGCATGGGTACATCACTGAGGAAGTGTATATGGCTCCTCCTCAGGGTTACACAAGGCTAGAAAAGGGCAGGTTTGTAAGTTGGTAAGAAGCTTATATGGTCTTAAACAAGCTTCAAGTGAATGGAACATTGAGCTGTGCAAGAAATTATCTCAGTTTGGCTTGACTCAGTCAGCATATGATCATTGTTTATTTACACTTGCTGCAGGTGGTCATTTCTTGGCCATCCTAGTATATGTAGATGACATCCTTTTAACCAGTTCAAGTGAGGAACTCATTTCACAACTCAAGCATTTCCTGGACCTTGAGTTTACCATCAAAGACCTTGGGCCTGCAAAATTTTTTCTTGGGGCTGAAATATTAAGAGATGATGCTGGAACTTATCTTTGCCAAAGAAAGTATGTTTTGGATTTACTAGCTGATATGCATATGCAGGAGTGTAAGAGTGCAGCCACCCCTTTGCCTCATGGCCTACAAGTGCACTGTAAAGATGGGGTTTCCCATGATAATCCTGACCAATATAGGAGACTCATAGGGAGGTTGCTCTATTTGGGTATGACAAGGCCAGATGTTACATATGCCATTCAACAGTTGAGCCAATTTGTAAATGACTCATACTCTTCTCACTGGTATGCAACTATTCATATCATGAGGTATCTTAAAGGGACTGCAAATCTTGGTCTTCACTTTTCCAGTCATAACAAAAGACAAAAGCCTGCTCACAGCCTACAGTGATGCTGACTGGGCTGCTTGCAAGGATACTAGAAGGTCCATCACTGGTTATGCCATCTTCTTAGGCGGCTGCCTTATTTCTTGGAAAAGTAAGAAGCAAAACACTGTCTCTCGTTCCTCTGCAGAAGCCGAGTATAGAGCTCTCAGCTCAACTGTTTCTGAACTACTGTGGATCTCCTATGTGGTGCATGACTTTCATGTGAAGCTTGAATACCCTATTCCTCTCTGGTGTGATAACCGAGCTGCTTTACACATCACTGCTAATCCAGTCTTCTATGAACGTACTAAACACTTAGAAATCGACTGTCACTTTGTGAGGGATAAGTTCAAATCTGGTTTTGTGCACCCCCTGCATATCTCTACTAAACTCCAGTTGGCAGACTTGTTCACCAAGGTTCTCACAGGCTCTCAGTTTCGTCTTCTTGTGTCCAAGTTGGGCATGGTTCTCTTCCCGGCATGCCCAACTTTGAGGGGGGCTGTTGGAATTGTGCACTTTCATGCAATGAAGACTTATGAACCTGCTTTATTGTTTTAGTTTTTTCTTTTCTATTTTAGTTTCTTTTATTTTGTTTTCATTAATCTGTTGGGATAAACGAATTCGAAATGTCATACTAAAAAACAACATAAACAAAAGTATGACGTTTCATTTTGTTGAAAAAGTACAGACGGTCATCCGATTAGGCCTCAAAAATTACATCTATCAATCAATCAAATTCAAACACATAAAAGCCCAAAAAATCCCAATTGAAATGTGATTATGCACACTCATCTCTTTCACACGCAAAACAAAGTAAGCAAATTCACTGCAAACAGAACGGTAAAAAGTATCTTACGGAGTGGACGCCGGCATAAAGAAGGGATGCCGCGGCGGCGGAGGCAGCGGCGCCGACGAAGATGGAAGCGACGGCGAAGGCCTTGAAGGGCATGAGGGTCGAATCGCCGGCGTAGCCCCTTTTGATTGCCAAGATGCCCCAACCTAATTGCGCGGAGCTGGCGGCTGCCCACCACCAGTAGCCTTCTACTGCAGTCCCGTTCACCACTCTATCTTCCTCTTTCTCCTCCATTTTACATTTTCATATTTTTCCACCATTTTACCTGGTAATGAATAAATATTAAATACTAAAACCTTTTTTTTTTTTTGGGTGTGTAATTTATTTTTTTCCTTTGTTGGGCTCTTTTCTGGTTCGGGTACAAATGTTAACTAGGCTTTCCTTAGTGTAGGTCAATGCATTTTAATCCATGGGATATTTGGATTTTTGGGCTAAAATACCTAATCGTCCAAACAATTGAGAAGGGAGGGAGGAATTTTAATGAAAGAAAGGGAGGTGAGGAGAGAGAAAGTGATATAAAATAATTTTATTTTATTTGGAGGAGTTTTATAGGAGGGAGGAGAAAAAAAAAATGATAAGTTTTGTTTGGTTTAAAAAGTAAGAGGATGGAAAATAAAATTACATAGACAAATATGCCCTTTCTTATTATGTAATAGTATGTTTGTACATAACTCAATTAACCATACTCTTTTCAATAATGATTCATTGCTATAAATTGATACTCTTGCCAATAACCAACCACCAAAGAAGTAAGGATAAACAAAACAATGCCATATTTTTTATAAGATTCAAATCGAATACTTTTTTTTTTTTGCAACCGTATCACAAATCACATTTAACTAGATAGTGTTTATAATTTATAAGTACAAAATATCATACATAAACAAAGCAAAAGTATAAGAAAATCCTACAAACATTCACACGACCATAACAGCATCAACATACACAAAATAATATTCCTTCACCACTCAAGCTATTTTACTCCAGTAGTTCTGACAGAACATACAAAAGCGGGAATTTCTTTCCACCGTAATGACAACTTAAACTTCAAATAAACTAACTTAGGTTTTAAAATTTCAAAGACAACAAGCAAACTACATAACATCTTTTTTCCTCACAATGTTGGATTGGAAGAGTCAAACATCATTCTCATGATAACATCCTTACGAGCTTTTGGTGGACACTAAACAACACATCGAAGTTTGTCGATGTCACCCATAAAAAAGTTGTAGATATCCATCAATAAATTAATATCAAACCCGCATTCCTTGAGTAATATCCATGTTCTTCGCCAGAAATTGGGAAAACTTTACGGCAGTACATGTCTTTGAATAGCTCATTTTCTTCTCGTAGTGCAGTAGCGACGTTATCTATAGCTCCTATAATTATCTCAAACTTGGGCGCTTTATCCTTCGTTGCATCTTCTTTTTTCCTTTTCGTACTAGTTGTTTCAGTGTTTGCTCTAGTAGAAGGATGTTGAGCAGAGAAACTGAAGATATTATTATCCACGTCAATAGAATCACCAATATTCTTCAAGATAACTTTATTACCACAATCATGTTCATTAACAAAAGCATTAACGAAAGCATCATCCATACTTATTGTCCAAGTTAAGTTCTCTTTCCCAGAGATAGTTGGACATGAAGACTTCCTCAGACCCATTATACAAAGTCTAAAACAAATGAGACATGCAAATTAGAATTTTTACCAAAAACTACGATGATAGCAATTCTAACCTCAGATAACAACTTATGACTCCAAACATCTCATATAAATAAAACTAATCAAGTTCAAATAAACAAATAATAAAGACAAAGCATTTAACTCAACTAACAAAACAAAACCACTTAAATTGTAGAAACCGTACATTATGAATAAGTTCATAATCTAACCACATCTCATGTGCTATACAAACTCTCTCCGAGCAACCTCTTCGCTATCTGTAACGCCCCACTTTTAATACCTCAAATTTCTCGAAGCAAAATTTTCTTTTTCTTAAAAACATTTGAAAACTCAAGGGCGCTAAAAACTCGCAGTAGCCTCAAAAACTTAAAGACTTACTCTTCATCATAGCATCGCATAGCTCATTGCATTATTCAATCATCATACTTTGCATAAATAAACTTGATCATATACTAAAACATAAAACATGCTCCTTAGCGTCTAAATTCAACCTAAAGGGAATAAACTCATGAATTGTCTCATAGTAGGAATAACTTAAAAGCAGTAAAACTCGAAAGCAAATTCATTTATTTGACAACCCTCGCCATCGCTCCGTTTTCAACTCGAACAACCTAGGTGTGGAAAACAAATAGAGATGAGCATTACCACTTACCCAGTGACGAATACATACTACATAGACATTTAGTATAATAACATATCATATGACATCAGCATGGTACATGAATAATCATAACCTCGCATAGCCTCGTTTTTTCCAACAATTGGTTTCTCAAAAGTTAGAGAACCTCGTTTTACATAGCCTCGCGCTCCTGACAAGAGGTTGACCTAAAGTCTAAAGACTTCAGAGATAACCTCGCGCTCCCGACAAGTGGTTGCCCACAAGTCGAAAGACTTTATAGCATAGAAATTTAACAAACAACATATCTCAACCATAGTAAGCAATTATAAAGATTGTAAACATAGCATAGAAATTCCCCACCTCGTAGTGCAGTTGACTTGGTCTATGAAGAATGCTCTAGAAAATTTGAGGGCTCGACTCCTCAATTATCTACATTATTGGGAAGTGGATTTTAATGGATTATTGAGAAAACTTAACATATCTTAGTCTTGAGAAAATCAATTGATTTTCCTCTTATCTCGCTTAAACCTCTCTAGAAAACAATTTCATTTAAAGACTTGAAAATTATTGAACTCTTAGCTTGCTTAAGGATACTAATCTTCATCGTCTAGGGTTCCATATAACATAAATGATTCAGGTATTGATCACACAACCTTTCATATTATAGGTAAAATCCATTTTTGAAACTATACCAAAAATCCCGACCAAATCTCTCATGCGCAGCGTTTTTAAAACATGCACAACATTCAGCACATAACTCATTTTAACATGTTTCAAATCCCAAAATAATCCTAAGACATGCAGCTACAACTTTCTTTTAGATCACAGAAGAAAACAGGTCATTTAGAAGGTGAAATATCAAGTAACATTCAAAACCTAGATGCTGTCAGAATATCGAAACTAACTCATGCGCTGTCACACTAAACAGAATATAATTTTTTACTCAGGAACTATTTTTGAATGATTCATGAACCTATAGAAATATAAGACATAGCGCTACAACTTTCATGAATACCACAATTGCAAATAAGGGCATTTAACAGATGATAAAATGACCGACATTCAGAACTAGTTGCTGCTAAAAATCGGAAACACAACTCATACACAACTTCAGTCAAACAAGTATAACTTTTGATACCGACAATATCTCGACATGATCCTTACACATACAGAAATCTAAGAAACAACTCTACAATTTTCATGAAGACCAAAAGTTCATATAAGCATGTTAGAACATAGAAAACAACCCAAACTTAAGTAAATGCTTGCTGCCGGATTTTCAGAAAACTGCTTGCACACTTTTTTTTTTTAAAACGATCATATCTCCCCAAATACAAAAGGTTTTTGCAAGATTCTTGAACTCATAGAACAGAGGGACATAAAACCAGGGAATTTACATGTTAATCATAACGAAACTTCAACAATTTAAATCCCAACAAAGGCAACTTAAACCAAACTTCTAAACATGATTTTCACATCTTAAAACATGATCAATATCACATAAATTCCCAGCATCTAATCGGCAATCACATAAACATGAGCATAGATCATAAAAACATGCATAAATCATCGAATTTCTTTCCTTTATCAATAGGTCTCAACCTCATGCTCTTAATCTAGAATTATCGATATCCTAACTCTTAAACAAGCATAATTATTCAATTTTTCCAGACTTACTTGAAAAAAAAAATTGATCCAAGATCAAACTTGGATTATCTTTTATCTCTTTAATTCTTATTGATCCTAATTATTCTTGATTATTGGGAACACATAATCTCAGCCCGAAATAGGAAAAGGATCGGTTTACCGTGCTCGAGAAAAGGAAATAAAATCGGCTTGAAGGGACTCGGCATGGGTCTCGCGCGTGTGCTTGCTGGTGTTCGGCGGCTGGACAACGCGGGGCTGAGGGGCTCGGCCGTGAGGTAGGGCTCGGTATTTTAAATTTTGTGTACTTCGCGCAATCTTGGCGCGCATCTAGAGGGTGCATTTTTAGTTATAGTGATCTTAAGAACTATTGCTTATTTGCTGCATGGATAAGTGGATTAAGTCTGATATTTGCAAGGTGTTAAAGTGTCCTGATTAACTTTGTCACTTTTTCTAAAAAAAAAAGAAGTAGAGATTTGAAAAGACGTGACACTTTAAAAAATAAATAAATAGCCACCTAAAAAATTGAAACAATCATCCACTATAAAAAAATTAATCAGTTATTAAAAGATAATTATGTCCTAAGCATGGAGTAAATTGTCAAATGTTGTTAAAAAGTAATATATATTTTAAAACAAAGAAAAAATTTCATTATACTCTTTTGGACTAAATTCATAACTTCCCATGTAATGAAAAAAAAAAATATTCCATGAAAAATAAGGAATTATAAGAATTCCAAAAAGACTTGATATTATCCAAAAGTAACTGTAATAATACAGAGAATAACAAAAAAAAAATTATTCATTTTTAGTTAAAAAAAATGAATTTACGATCAGAGGTTTCAAAATTTATCAAATTTGAAAAGAATTAACTGCTATCGGTTTTTACAAGTTAAGCATACAGAAGTAAAAAAAGAAGAAGAAGAAGAACGATGAAAAAGGATTTGTTCGATCACCGAAGACATTAAAGATAAAGTAACATTTTTTCTCTGTTTTAAATAAATATTACTTTTTAACCACAGTTGACAATTTATTCCATACGTGGTCTATTTTGTTTTTAATATGAGTTTTGAAGACATAATTATCTTTTAATAACTTATTAGTTTTCAAAGTAGATGACAGTTTCATTTTTTTAGGCGGTTTTTTTATTTTTTTAAAGTGTCACGTCTTTTCAAATCTCTTCTTTGTCAGTTTTTAATTCTCCATATACATTGTACAACACCGGGAGCCCTTTTTTGTCGTGCCCATGCATAAAGACAACTTTTTTTAAGATCATCCCCCAAATCATCCTTAATTAGTTCATCTACGTTGAAGTCCTCCATTATTTCATGGTATTTTTCAGCATGAAAATGATTCCTTGACTTTGAAATTGTGGGCTCGCATTAATTTGAGCAAGTTGACATCACTCATATCGTCACTCAGTTGGTTTCTTCTAGTTCAAAAAACGCTTAAAAATGACATCTTTAACGGCGGGTCGATATCTGAACCTACCAACAGCCCGAACAAGTATCGATTTGGGGGTGACACTGCTGAAGAATGTCGACCTGCTCAATTCATGAGAGCCCGTGATTTCAAAGTGAAGGAATCATTTCCATGCTGAAAAACACAATGAAATGGAGGAAGGACTTCAACGTCGATGAACTAATTAAGGAAGATTTGGGGGGCGATCTTGAAAAAGTCGTCTTTATGCGCGGGCACGACAAAGAAGGGCACCCGATGTGTTACAATGTGTATGGGGAATTGAAAAGCTGATAAAGAAGAGACTTGAAAAGACGTAACAGTTTAAAAAATGAAAATAAAAAACCGCCTAAAAATTTGAAATTGTCATCCATTTTAAATAACTAAGCAGTTATTAAAAGATAATTATGTCCTATAAAATCACATACTAAAAACAAAATAGAGTAAGTATGAAATAAATTGTCAACCGTTGTTGAAAAGTAATATTTATTTTAAAACAGAGAAAAAATGTCATTTTATTCTTTAGGGTAAAATTCATAAATGTCCATATATAAAAAAATATCCATGAAAGATAAATAAAAATTACAAAAACACAAGATTTTATCCAAAA